TTTTGTGGTGACCCCAACCATAAAATTATTTTCGTTGCTACTTCATAACTGTAATTTTGCTACTGTTAGGAATGGGGTGACCCCTGTGAAAGGGTTGCTTGAGCCACAAATGGGTCATGACCCACAGGTTGAAAACTGCTGTTTTAAACTATTTTATTGGCATACAATTCACAAACCATACAATTCAATAGTACAGTCATCATCACAATCAATTTTAGAACCTGTGTAACATTTTGTGAACATGTTTTTCTCTGTGTGGAAATAACTAGGAATTGATGTACTGGGTCATAGAGTACGTGTATGTGTAGTTTTGTATGAGATTGCGAGACACTCAGACATTTTGCAGGGTGTTTATCAGGTTACAGTCTCATAAATGTATGAGAGTTTTAACTATCCACTCCAACACTTGGTATTGTCAGTTTTAAATTTTTGTGATTTTGGTGACAGTGTAGCCATGTCTTAACATTCACATCTAATGATTAATGATGTTGGGCATCTTTTCATGTGCTTCTTAACCATTAGCATACCATTCTTTGTGAAGTGTCTGCTCAACATTTTGGCTTATATAAAAACTTGAATATATGTTTTATTGGTGAGGCAAAAGAGTTGATTATATATTTGGGATACCAGGTTTTTGTCAGATATGTTTTATGAATATTTCCCCCTGTTTGCAGCTAGTGTATTCAATTTTAAAAAAGAATGTATTTTAAGGAGATGATTTTCATTTTGGGAAAAGTCTGATTTATTGGTACTTTTTATTGCTTCGTGTGCCCTAAAAAACCATTTACCTACTTCCAATGTTGGTTTTATGATACAGATTTATTGTTTCTAAGTTGGTGTATGTATTTATAAAAACTTAACTTGGATGTTGATATTTTCAACCATTTGTCAGTTCTACTGATTTATGACCTGAAGGTGAATTAAAAAATATTTTAAAAGAAATTTTAACATAATACTAAGGGAATGGTCAGCAGTATACAGTATTTTAATAAGTATAAAAGTACACATTTTTTATTATAAAATTATATCTACAAGGGTGTAAACTATAATAATAACTTTGCCTTTGATTATTTTACCTTAACTCACAATAAAGTACAGAATCAAAAGAGAACTTTTTCAAAAAATTTATTCTATTGAAAGAATTACAAGAAATTTGGTAACTTGAGATGTTATTCTGGAACACATGCTACTAGTTCAAATGTGCAAGCTCCAACTTACCAAATGTTTAAAATATTTGAGTTTTTTAAAGAGTGCCAAATAAAACCACAGTTTTTCTAGAGATGACATGTTTAGCTAAGTGCGAGCAATATAAATCTTTCAACTATTCTGTGTATTTGTTTTCAAGCCTCAGAAACCAGAAATGGTGCCAATAAAAATAAATGAAACTGCAGTCAACTTATTTAAACACTTGTGTTTCTAGGGTATTTATCTGGAGATGGGGCCATAGGGACACTGGATGTGCACTTTTTACATTGTGTGAGATATTGCCAAGTTGACCTCCACAATGGTTATTTAATTTAGAGCCCCACTAGCATTGTGCTAAAGTTCCTACTCCTCAATATCATTTTCAGGTATTAGAATTTATTTTCTGCTAATCTATGTTTGTGAAATGATCTCTCATTGTGATTTTAATGAGCTCTGCCTTGATATTATGAGATTGAGCCTTCTAAAATGTCATTTTAGGTTACTCAGGGTTCCTCTTGTGTGAATTACATATGTCTCTATTGGATTATTTAGAGCTATTTTTTCTAAACGGTAATCTTTTTGTTGTTATAGAAGAAGTAAATATCTTCTGCCAAAAACAAACAAACAAACAGACAAATAAATAAAACAATGAAAGCACTAGTGTTTAACAGTTGACTTATAAGTCAGTTTTCTAAAAAGAAAAAAAAGGTATCTGAATGTCTCCAGAAAATACATGTACTGAGATGGTGATTACAGGCTTTCCCCTCTCCAACAATCAAGATGTTTTCTAGTTTTGATAAATTTTATATTTAGATGATGGGAAGGGATAGCACAAGTGTATTATTCTCAAAGGATATAAGAAGGTATAAGTTCCTATGAACAAACCACAAATTCTAACATTTCTCTCCAATTCCTTCTCTGCCTATCAATGCGCATCATTTCTTTTCACAGTTTTCTCTAACCCAAGAGAGACAGCTTTCTATAGCTGGTTCCAAGATGTTAGCAAGCGCTGTTTGGAATTGCTACTGTAGATCAAATTATGTCTACCTTTTAAAAAATGAAATCTAACCCCCTCCCCCCAAAAAAACCATTGTATTGCTTTGTGTGCCCTAAGAAACCCCTAATAACAGTACATAAATTTGCATTGTTCAGAGAGGTAGCAAGCTATCAGCAAAATAATGATCTATACTGACAAACCTGGTTTCACAGGTGTTTGATTTAACTATTTCCTTTGTTAAGGCAAAGTAATGATTAGTGGTAAAATACTAAAATCTTATTCTTCAGGCCCATATCAACAATTGATTGAAGTGAAATATATTAAAGTTTTGCAAGCCTATTTAATAACATTTTGAGTGGGCAATTGCCTTCAAAAAGTTCATGGAAAATGTAATTAAAAGATAATAGAATTTCTCTTGAACATTTTCAAGTCTGCCCATATTAAAAATTTTAATTTCACCCTGGGGGACACACAACAGAAAAGTGGGTGAAGGAAGAGGTTGGACAGTGTAAGACATGACAAAATAATAATAATTTAGAAATTATCAAGGGTTCATGGCGGGGCATGGGGAGGGAGGGGGAAAATGAGGAGCTGACACCAAGGGCTCAAGTAGAAGGCAAATGTTTTGAGAATGATGATGGCAACTAATGTACAAATGTGCTTGACACATGGATGGATGGATGGATTGTGATAAAAGTTGTACGAGTCCCCAATAAAGTGATTTAAAGTTTTTAAAATTTCATTTAAAGATTTTTCTATGTAAGATAATACATTAGAGAAGACAGATGTGTGCATAAAAAAATGTGGTGAAGAAAGCTGATGGTGCCCGGCAATCAAAAGATATAGCGTCTGGGGTCTTAAAGGCTTGTAGGCAAACAAGCGGCCATCTAGCTCGGAAACAACAAAGTCCACATGGAAGCAGCACACCAACATGTGTGATCATGAAGGGCCAAAGGGACCAGGCTTTAAACACCAAAGGTGGGGAGGGGGAATCATATCCTCGTCAATGAGGGTGGCGCGTGATGGAGACCCAATGCCCATCTCTAGGCAACTGGACATACCTTGCAGAGGGGTAGTGGGGAGATGAGTCACTTAGGGTACAGTGTAGCAATAATGAAACCCACAGCCTTCCTCTGGTTCTTGAACGCTTCCTCCCCCCAACTACCAGGACCCCAATTTTGCCTTGCAGACCTGGTTAGACCAGATGATGCACAGTGGTACAGATGGGAATTGGAAACGCAGGGAATCTAGGACAGAAGAACCTCTCAGGACCAGGGCTGACAGTGGCGATACCAGGAGGGAAAGGGGATGTAGTAAGGGGGAATGGATCACAGGGAGCCACACGTGGCCTCCTCTCTGGGGGACGGGCAGCAGAGGGGTGGATGGCGGGAGACGCTGGACAGTGTAATATAAGCTACAATAATAATTTATAAATTATTAAGGGTGCATGGGGGAGAGGGGAGGAGGAAGGGAAGGGGGGGGGGGGAAAGGAAAATTAGCGGATTCCGGGAACCCAAGAGGCAAGCGAATTTTGGGAATGATGGGGGCAACGAATGTATAGATGTGCTTTGCACAATTGATCTATGTATTGTGATGAATTGTATGAGCCCCAATAAATTGATTAAAATAAATAAATAAATAAATAAAGATATAAATATAAAACAAACTAAACCAAGAATTTTTCCTCGCCCCAGAAGCAAAGTCGATGTCATAGGTAGTATTAGGTGTACTTAGGGATCCATCAAGCATAGTCAGTAAATGTGAATAATTCTGCAAATATTGCCTAATATACAGTACGTGATTTAGAGTTGTAATAGCCACACCTCTCCTGCTTCATGAAGTTAATCAAATATTCAAGTTCCATAAGGTTTATCTAATTCTAGTGGGGAAACTTCTCAGTTCTCTGAAACTGATCTTTTCGTGACTTTGGAGTGAAGAACAACTCACCCAGTTATCATTAGGAATTTTGTTCCTATTACTACCAATATCTTAATGTGAAAAATGCTTTTCCAAGATCTACATGTGTGTTTGACTCTGAAGCCTCAGAATGACACTGGACATTTCACCAAATCTAAACCCAACCCAACCCATACCATCTGGCCAATTTTGACTTATAGTGAGTGACCCTATTAGGGTATCCAATACTCTAAATGGTTACAACAGACAATTTTTACCTCAGAAAGGCTGGAGGGTTTGAACTATTGACCCTATGGTTAGTGAATAGCCCAATGCCTAGTCCACAGTGCTACCAGAACTCCTTACTAAATCTAAAGTAGCCAGTTATGTATGTGTGTGTATACCCACATGCACACGTACACACTCATACCCACACATCCTATGTGGGATGAATTTACAGATGATGGTGGTGGATTTAGCTGCACATAGAAAAGTTAGCTATATTCATTGGCTTTATCTGAAATCTGTCAAAGTTTTCTTCCAAATCATTTTTTAAAAATCTAAGAATCATATGTTCATGATTCATGTTATACACTCAATGCATATACCAAGATGTTCGCAATCACATTACCAGTATCATGTGATGAGTTGAGAATGCTGTAGGGAGCTCAAAGTGCTTTTTAAAACTCCTTCTATAGAGTTACTCCTTATGAAAAGTGACGTTTAAAATTGGAGAAGTCATCTTTCTTTTCAGTCTACTACTTCCTCCAGCTGTACATGCCCTTGTGTTCTCTTTTGAATTCAGAAGTAGCATTACTGGTAAAATGAGAGTTTAAAGATGAAAGATACTGTATTCATGAAGATTTGTGACTTGGTCTTATGCCCTTTTATTTTTTTTCACTTTCGTTTTTCATTGTTACAGGCGAAGCTACTATGGAGGAAACTGGGCCAGCTTTAGCTTTTCGGGACTATTGTCCTGGATAAAGGAATACCAGGTAAAGTTTTTGCCTTTTAATTTACTATGTTGTATTTTGTGTCATATAATAACGTAGTATGGAAGAAAACCCTGTAATATAAAATTGATACCTTGTCTATTCCCTTATTATAAAACTATTATGGACAATTATCTTGTAACTAATGATTTTCCAATGTCTTCATAATATTGTTGTTATGTGCCATTTAGTTAGTTATGACTCCTAGCAACCCTGTATACAACAGAACAAATCGCTGCCTGGTCCTGTACTGTTCATTCTCCCAGTCATTGCTATGTTTAAGCTCCTTGTTGGAGCCATTGTGCTAGTCTATTTCATTGTGTGTCTTCCTTTTTTTCTTGCTGACCTTCTACCTTAGCAAGCATGATAATCTCCAGGGATAGGCCCCTCTTGATAATAGAGACAAAGTATTCTGACCTTGTTTCTAAGTAGCATTCTGACTGTATCTGGGGCAGTTTACAGTACTGTGTCATTGTTCTTTGCCAACACCATAATTCCAGTGCATCAGTTCTTTGATCTTCTCATTCATTATTTACCATTCAGTTGAATTTTAGATGACTGAAAATAGCATGGCTTGGGTCAGGTGTGGCTTAGTCTTCAAAATGACATATTTGCTCTTAAACACTTTAAAGGGGTCTTGAGCAGCAGATTTGGCCATTGCAATACAACTTTAATTTCTTGACTGCCTCCAGGAGCGTTGATTGCAAATCCAAGTAAAATGAAATCTTTAATAACTTCAATCTTTAATGCGTTTATCATAATCTTGTCTTGGTCCAGTTGTGACGAATTTTGTTTTCTCTATGTTGAGGTACAATCCCTACTGGAGTCTGTAACTTTTGATTTTCTTCAAGGATTTTTAATCCTTGCTTTTTGCAAGCAAGGTTGCCATCTGCACATCAGAGATTGTTAATTAGTCTTCCTCCAATCTTAGATTATGTGGTTAGCACAAAAATTGAATCCCGTATATTCTCGTGTATGAACCTTCAGCACATTTGAAAAAATCATTTTATTGGGAACTCGTATAACTCGTATCACAATCCATACATCCATCCATGTGTGTCAAGCATATTTGTACATTTGTTGCCCTCATCAGTCTCAAAACATTTGCTTTCTACTTGAGCCCTTGGTATCAGTTCCTCATTTCTTCCCCACCTTCCCAACTACCCCCTCCTTCATGAACCCTTGATAATTTATAAATTGTTATTATTTTGTCATATCTTACACTGTCTGATGTCTCCCTTCACCCACTTTTCTGTTGTCTGTCCCCCAGAGAGAAGATTATATGTAGATCCTTGTAATCGGTTCCCCCTTTTTACCCCACCTTCTTTCCACCCTCCCAGTATCGCCACTCTCAATACTGGTCCTGAAGGGATCATCTGTCCTGGATTCCCTGTGTTTTTGGTTCCTGTCTGTACCAGTGCCCATCCTCTGGTCCAGCTGGATTTGTAAGGTAGAATTGGGATAATGATAGTGGGGCAGGGAGGAAGCAATTAAGAATTAGAGGAATGTTGTATGTTTCATCATTGCTACACTGCACTCTGACTGGCTTGTCTCTTCCCTGTGACCCTTCTGTAAAGTGATATCCAGTTGCCTACAGATGGGCTTTGGGTCCCCACTCCCCACTCCCCCTCATTCACAATGATATGATTTTTTTGTTCTTTGATGCCTGATACCTCATCCCTTCAATACCTCGTGGTCACACAGGTGGTGTGCTGCTTCCATATGGGCTTTGTTGCTTCTGAGCTAGATGGCCACTTGTTTACCTTCAAGCCTTTAAAACCCCAGACACTATATCTTTTGTTAGCCAGGCACCATCAACTTTCTTCACCACATTTGCTCATGCACACATTTGTCTTCAGTGATCATGTCAGGAAGGTGAGCATCTTGAAATGCCAATTTAATACAATAAAGTGTTCTTGCACAGAGGGAGTACTTGAATGGAGGCTCAATGTCCATCTGCTACCTTAATACTAAACCTATAAATATGTGCACATAGATCTATTTTCCCATCATCATCTATAAATATATTTACATATGTACATGCCTGTATTTAGACCTCCATAAATCCCCTTTGCCTCCTATTTCTTTTCTCTATTTCCTTTTACTTTCCTCTTGTCCCACTATCATGCTCAGCCTTCATTTGGGTTTTAGTAATTTCTCTCGGTTACATTGCCTTTGATCAATCCCTACCAGGCCTCCTACCCCCTCCTTGCCACTGATTTTGGATCACTTGTTGTTCCCTTATCACTGGGCTGGTAAACACCACTTCCTTTCCCTTTCCTCCCCCTCTCCCATGTCCCCCCGGAACCAATGGTCCCGTTGTTTTCTCCTCCAGACTGTTTTTTCCAGCCTATCTTATCTAGATAGACCTGCAGAGATAATAATATGCACAAAAAACCAAGACAGAGCAAAACAAAGCGACAAAATAAAAGAAAATGACAACCACCACAAAAAAAACCAATGACAAAAAAAAGCCTGTAAATAGTTCAAGGTCTGTTTGTTGACCTTTAGGAGTGTTTTCCAGTCGAGTCTGATGGGGTTCCAGGCCATGGACCCAAAGTCTATTTCTGGTACTCCCTTGGGACTTCCTTATTCTGCTCCCCTTGCTGTTCTGTTACACGCCCTTAATGTTTTGCCTTGGTGTGGCAGGGTCAGATCGGGCGCAACACTGTGTCTGTCTCCAGTGTTGTCCCCCGTAGGGCTATGGGTCAGTGAGGGATGTCGTGTCTCATAGTGGGGCTGGCCACATGGTCCTCTCTGTTTCAGCACATTTTAAATGCAGTTTTTGTGGTAAAATTAGGTGCCTCAGCTGATATTTGGGTCGGCTTATACTCTCGTACAGGTGCCCTCAAACTACAGCCCGTGGGCCACATGTGGCCCGCTGAGGACATTTATCCGGCCTGCTGGGTGTTTTTGCCCTGTTTGTTTTTTTACTTCAAAATAAGATATGTGCAGTGTGCATAGGAATTTGTTCATAGTTTTTTTTCTTAACCAATGGGTCTGAGGGACAGTGAGCTGACCCCCTGTTTAAAAAGTCTGAGGAACTCTGCTCTGGTATATATGGTAAATAAGGTGAAAAGATACAATTCAAATGCATACCTTTTCTGATTTTAAATCATACTGTTAGGAGCAACTGCTTCTTGTTCCACTTCCAGGTTATGTATGAGCACAATTAAGTATTCTGGAAATTCTATTCTTTGCAATATTATTCATTATTTTTCATGGTCCACATAGTTGAATATTTTTGTAGAACTGCTAAAGCAACAGTCTGATATTCTCTACTTCCATTGAGGATTTATCCAGTCAACAAAGCTATCCCTCAGTCTACATTCTTGAATTTCAGGCAGTTCATTTTCCATGTACTGAAGCAACTATTTGTGAATTATCATCTGCAAACTCTACTTGTGTAGGATATTAATGATATTGTTTGATAGTAGAATTGTTGTGTTACCTTTCTTTAAAATTGGTACAGATATAAGTCTCTTACTGTTGGTTCCTTCCAAATTTCAGGTAGCTTTCTTCCAAATTTATCGCATAGACTAGTGAGTGCTTCCAGAGCTGAATCGGCCTGTTAAACATTTTAATTGGTATTCCATCAATTTTTGGAGACTTGTTTTTCACCAGTGCCTTCAGTGCAGCTTGGACTTCTTTCTTCAGTACCATTTGATTTTGATTATGTGCTCCTTCTTAAAGTTGTATGTCTACCAATTTTTTTAGTTCCATGACGTCCACCTTCCCTTGATGCTTCTGCATCATTCAATATCTTGCTTATAGAAGCCTTCAGTATTGCTACTCAAGGCTTGAAGTTTTACTTTACGTGCCTTGACTTAAGAAATACTACGTCTGTTCTTCCCTTTCAGTTTTCTAACTCCAAGTCTTTGTAAACTTCATTATAATACTTTACTTGTCCTGGCAAGCCAGTCTGTGAAATCATCTGTTTAGCTCCTTTATGTCATCTCATTTTTTTCTATGTTCTTTAGCTGCTCCATGTTCCAGAGAAGATTTCAGAATCTCTTGTCACATCCATTTTGGCCTTTTCTTTGTTTCCTGTCTTTGAAATTACTGTTTACATCGTTAATGTCATCCCTCAACTCTTGTCTTTTTTGGTCATTAATACTCAATGCATCAAATCTGTTTGTGAGATAATCTTTAAATTTGGGTGGGATATGTTCAAGAAGTACCATGGCTCTGGTGGACATGTTTTAATTTTCTTCAGCTTCAACTTGAACTTGCCCAGGAACATTTGATGGCCTGTTCTGTAGTTGGAAAAGTTTGTTTGACTGATGATATTTTCAGTTCTCTTTACAAATGTAGTTGATTTGATTCCTGTGTGTTTCATTAGGTGAGGCCCATGTATATAGTCACTGCTTATGTTGTTAAAAACAGATATTTTCAAGGAATAAGCTGTTTGTCTTTCAAAATATTATCATATAGTCTCTGTAGTTGTTTTTATCATTAAGGCCATATTTTCTAGCTACCAATACTAAGTTTTTGTTTCCAACTTTGACATTCCAATCACCAGTATTTGTCAGTTCTTCTTGATAAATTATAGAATTTATCAAGTTGGTAGCATTCTTTAATTTCTTCATCATGGACTTTAGTGGTTTCTGTGTAAATTTGAATAATAATCCTATTATCTGGTCTTCCTTGTAGTTGTATGGGCATTATCCCATCAAAGACAGCATTGTACTTTCAGATAGATCTTGAAATGTTCTTTTTGATAATGAATGTGACACCATTCCTTTCCAATTTGCTATTTCAGGCATAGGAAACCATGTAATTGTCGGATTCAAATTAGCCACTACCAATCTGTAGGAGAGAGATGGGCCTTTCTCTTCTCGTTAAAGAGTTACGTCTCAGAGACCCACAGGAGCAGTTCTACCCTGTCCTTTAGGGTGGCTGTGAGTCAGCATCAACTCAATGGCTGTAAGAATTTGAATGAGACCATGTCAGTTCACTTATGCTAGGGTATCGATCTGTATGCATTCCATATCATATTTTGAAGGCTAACACTTTTCCTAAATTCATACTTTGTACATTTACTTTTCAGTTATTAATAGAGTTGGCAGCTGTTCCATCTTGTTTTGCACATAGCTTTTTCAGCAAATGAATTCTTGAAAGCTTTACTTCATCCACTTTATTGAAGTCACAGCTTTCTTGCAGTCATATTTTGGAACTACTCCTTTGGGTTTCCAGGATGTTAAACCTTTACAGTAGTATACAGCCTCATCTTTCTCCTGCAGAGTGGCTAGTGAGTTCAGCCTTGTGGTTAGCAGCTCAGTGCATAATCCACTATGCCACCAGAGCTCCTTTTTGGATTATTAGATATGTTGTAAATTGTATACATTTGATTACCAAATATAAAGCAAACATTTTTTCACCAATATTGTGTCTCAGAAAAGATAGTATAGTTCTAGGCTGTCTCACATATATTATGACTTGCTATTTCTGTTAGTTTATTTTTAAAGTGAAAACAGTGATTTAAGGAAGACATACTTAAGAATTATTTTTGTCATTAGTTTTCTTGGTTTGTTTATAGAGGTTACTTGATAAAATTAATTTGTATAATGAAACAGTATGGAAAGAAATCTAATACACATTTTCTGTGTTTCTTTTAAAAAGTAAGATCTTAACATTGCAACTTTTGGAGAGCACTTTAAAGAAGGTTGTAGAGAATCAGTTGCTACATAATATGTGAAGTGGATTACATGATGAAATTTACAAATTTTTGTGAGACATATAAAAAAGTCCTAATTTTATGCAAATGGTCCTTTTTTTTAACATTTTATTAGGGGCTCATACAACTGTTATCCCAATCCATACACACATCAATTGTGTAAAGCGCATTTGTACATCATTTCTCAAAACATTTTCTCTCGCAAATGGTCCTATTTATGGCTTGAAATGAAATTCGTACTTAGCATATATTAAATGGTATCAAAAATGATATATCTCAGTTTGTAATTGTTAGGTGCCATTGAGTTGATTCCAACTCATGGCGAATGAGACATTTCCCAGTCTGCACCATCCTCACCATTTTTGTCATGTTAAAGTCCATTGTTGCAGCCACTCTGTCAGTTCCTCTTGGAAAAAAGCCTTCCTCTTTTTCGCTGCCCCTCTACCAAGCATGATGTTTTTCTCCAGGGACTGGTCTCTGCTGCCATCATGTCCAAAGTATGGAAGTTTCACCATCCTTGCCTCCAAGACAAAAATTGATTTTAGCAGTCCATAGTACTTCCAAAAGTGCCAGCACCATATTCAAATGCATCAATTCTTCATTCTTCTTTATTCAATGTACAACTTTCACATGCCTATGAAGTGATTGAAAATGGTTTGGCTTGAGTGAGGGGCACCTTAGTCCTCCAAGTCATTTTGCTTTTGAACATTTTCAAGAGGTTCTGTATACTGCTATACCCAATAGAATTCACCCAATAGAATGCACCCTCTTATCTCTTGACTGCCGCCACCATGAGCATTGATTGTGGATCCAAGCCAGAGGAAAGCCTTGACAACTTCCATCTTTTCTCTGCTTATCACGATCTTAATTCCTGGTCCATTTGTGAGGATTTGGGTTTTCTCTGCATTAAATTATAATCCGTATTGAAGGCTACCATCTTTGATCTTCATCAGCAAGTGCTTCAAGTCCGCACTTTCAACAAGCAAGATTGTATCCTCTGCATATTGCAGGTTGTTAGTAACTCTTACTTCAATCATCCTGGTCCTGCATTCTTCTCCATATAGTATAGCTTCTCTGATTATTTTCTCAGCATACAGATTGAATAATTATGGTGAGAGGCTACAACCCTGATGCACACCTTTCCTGATGTTAAACCATGCAGCATTCCCTTCCCACAACTGCCTCTTGATCCATGTACAGGTTCTTCATGAGCACAAGGAAGTGTTATGAAATTCCCAATCTTCTGAAGCCCATCCATACTTTATTGGGGTTGTTGAAAATCCATCTTTATTTAGTAGCCAAGAGTTGAAGAATAGTAATAGCTAAGATTTAAGTGTGACAAGAACCATACTAACCTTTCTAGTTGTACTAATTTAATTCACTGGTTTGTAGAACATAGAAAGTATCTCTATTGATAACAAAGGCATTGCTGTTAAAGATGCAGCAAAAACTCAGCTATGATGGGTACATAAAATGAGAGGTTGTAGAACTAAGCAATGTTTCTAAAATATGATTTTCTATAGTAATTCAAGAAAGTAAATGCTGTAGACAGTTGCTTTTTTATATCTAAATTATCTATTTAGGTTGATATGCTTGCTTTCTTCTGAAAAGTGTATCCTTGGGAAATATGTAGAAGGATCACCTCAGCGCCCCCCTAGTGCTCAAGGCTAGATATTGTCATGCTAACTACAAGGATCATTTCCTATATGGGTATATTTAATACTTCTTTTAGAAAATTACATCTAGATTCTCAGAAGAAAAAAAAAATACCCTAGTTGTTGGAATGGAAAACTTTTGGCGAATGAAGATTTCTTTGTTTCTGTATTTTTAAATTGGTAATGGGTTATTTGTTTTTAATGTGAACTTGTAAGTCTGCCTTTATTTTAATGTTTCTTTTACTCCACATCAGTCATACCTTTTACTTCTTCACTTTCCTTACATGGTAAATAGTCATTTTTCAAACTCTAGTGATCCTTTGTCAGAACATACAAGATTACTGTAGTTTATGTCCCCTTTAAATTTTCTTAAAATATTTAATTGTATATAGCATTATATTTGATAATAATAGCTGCCTTCATCTACTTTTTTTCCATTTAAAAGTATTTTTAAAATAATAATTAGATTTATAAAATCTTTATATTTAGAAATTATCTGAAATGAAACATCCCAAACAAATGACACCGTAGTACTATTTTACTACTGTTTTTTGAGTGTATTTAATACATTAGGGGTTTTTTTCTCCTAGAGAAAAAACTACCTATCAAATAGGTTAAAAAATGGACTCGACATTTTTCAACGGTATATCTTGATATTTTCAAAATTTTCCTTTATTCAAATACTGTGCTAAAATATAATTTTCTACGCAATACACAACTAGGAATTCCATTCACATTTATCATTCATGATTTGGACTATCTATGATCTCAATGAAGGAGAACTAGTGGTGTAGTGGGTTATGTGCTAGGCTGCTAACTGCAAAGTCAGCAGTTCTAACACTCAAGCTGATCCTCTGGAAAAAGATAAGGTTATCTCCTCCTATAAGGAATTACAGTCGTGGAAGCATTAAGGAGCAGTTATTGGACTGCTTTCCACCCTTAGTGAAGATTGTTTTATTCTCTGTGATTAAAAAGAGAAAAAAGACAGTTAAATTGAGATCACACACTGTGTTAGGACGGGTTCACTAGAAAAACAAATCAGTGACACTCATATATGTATAAGAAAGAACATTATATCAAGAAGTAATTGTATATTAAGAAAACACCCCAGCCCAGTCTAGTCCAGATCAAGTCCATAAGTCCTATATTAGTCCAGAAATCCCTCTTCAAACTCATGCAGCACATACAATAATGCAAAATGCAGGAAGATCACAGGCCAGTTGGTGGAAAGTCTTGTGGATCCAGTGGTGGTAGAAGCATATCAGCACTGGCATGGGTCTCTCTGAGTATGGGTCTTCAACAGGAAGGGGAAGCAGAGAGGGGCTCCATGCAGGTCTCAAAGTGGCTTTTCATCAGGAAGATGTAACAGTGAGAAAGTGTGTGGCCCACCTCTAGGGAGAAAGAGGATGTTCCCAGAATCCTCATGAGAAGGCCATGTCCACAAAGAGGCATCTTCAGGCTGTGACCTGATTTACAACCTAGACTCCACCCCTACACTTATTTATCAAGGTGCAATGAAATTATGTAACTATCACATAAACATACCTCAAAACCAAAATGCCTTGCCATTTAATTTATTCCAATTCATAATGACCCTATTGGGCAGAGTTTAACTGCTCCTTAATGCTTCCAGGACTGTAATTCCTTATAGGAGACAACCTTATCTTTTCCCAGAGGATCAGCTTGAGTGTTAGAACTGCTGACTTTGCAGTTAGCAGCCTAGCACATAACCCACTACACCACAAGTTCTCCTTCATTGAGATCATAGATAGTCCAAATCATGAATGATAAATGTGTTAATGCTAAGAGGTTGTATACTTTTATATAGTGTTGTTTTTGAGACTATAAAGCGAGGATCAATGATTTTGAACCCCCTTGTTTTATTGTGCTGAGTACTTTTCACAAGTACCATTGTTTCTATTTAATCTTTGTATTTAGGAGGAATGAACATTGTCTCAGAAAAGTACAGGTTTTGATTACTTTTCTAATGAAAATTTCTTATTTGTGTTTTGTTTAGGAATTCAATGATTCTCTGAATGAAACCCAGGCATGGCAAGAGCAGATTCTTAACAATGAAGAGGCCATTGTTCTTAGCAGGAAAGACAGAACCATTCAACATGTGGAAGTGTTTTGTTATGCCAGGTATGAAAAATAATTATTTAGGACACACTGAGTTCATAGCTTCTTAGTCACACTTCTTTAAAAGAACCAAGAAAGAAGACTTTATGTAACATTCGTTTTTTGTTACAAATAGTAATATATTGATTTTAGATTTTTAAAATAATGTATCTTTCCACTTTGTTTTGGTAATAATAATAATAATGATTACAACAACATCTTCAAAGAACTTTGTAGGTTACCTAGCTCTTTGAAATATATCATTTGATAAATAAAATAATCTCACACAATGGTAAGGTAGTATTACCCTGTTTCTCTGAAAATAAGACAGTGTCTTATATTAATTTTTGCTCCCAAAGATACGCTAGGTCTTATTGTCAGGGGATGTCTTATTTTTCCTTGAAGAAGAATACGGTACGCATTTATTGTTTTACTTCAAGAGACCTCACACTTTCTGTCTGCTCCGGCTGCGCTGTGGCCAACAGTGAGCTGCGTGGTGGCACCTGCTGCTACGGTCCAGAGTCCAGAGTTATGGTAGCTTCGGGGGGGCTTATTTTCGGGGGGATGCGTTATATTTCAGCAAGAGGCAAAACTAAGTGGGTCTTATTTTCAGGGGCTGTCTTACTTTCGGGGCAACAGGGTAGTTACTGAGGTAGTTAGTTTGTTGTGCCAACCTGGCTAATTAACACATGTGGGGTTAATTGAAGGGCGGGGGAATAAATGGTTCAGTGAGCCTCGCCTTTCGAGTTCTCTGGTCTCTTTGTGATGGTCGCACCAGGGTGCAGCTGCCTTAGCAGTTTCCTGCTTCAGGTTGCAAGGCTGAATTCCTGCAAGACATCCCCAAGGAGAAGCCACATGGACCTATCCCGATGCAGCCCTGGGTGCTGGAGTACCCGTGTGGAGACCTCTGCCAGCACTGAGATGTTTACACATTCACTGACTCAGCTTTCCACCTGCAAGCGACGTCATTGTGTCTTGTTTGTGAGATGGAGGAGGACTTTGTGGATTGGTGTTGGACATATGGGTTAATGCTGGACTTGTGGGCTTGGGCAACATTGGGTTGGGATATTTACTTGATGCTCATTTAACCTTTATGTAAAACTCTCTTATACATGGGTTTTTGTGGATTTGTTTCTCCAAAGTACCCAGACTAATACATTATGGTACCTTGGGAGTGGGGTACTGGAGAAACAAATCATAAGATGGAGAGTAGACCTCTCCCTCATGGAAGTTTTTCTTCTTTGTCTAACCAGAGTTCAGGTAAAGCTACAATGTTTACTTGGTTGTTTCTGGGAAAAATATGGGAAGTATGAAAATAGAAAGTTTGTAAGCCCACTTGCTTCAGCCATTAAAATTTGATCTTTAGATGGGTTTAGGCCATGCCTGTAAAAAAGCTTTGAAAAGATATGCCCTACCCAGTGCTTTGGAGTACTCAGGAACCAGTAGTCTTTGTCAGAAGCTGGAAAAAATCTGGAACCATGAAGAAAACTCCTCTCTGGGACTGAATGTTAAAGGGAGCCTGAGAGCAGGCTGAAATGCTTGCTAGGTGACCACCTGGATCTACTTTGTTGAGTGGAAGTGGGAGAAATGCAGCAATAAAGAGATGAGTTGAGTTTGGTTCTTGACACCTGTGGACTTGGTTTACAGGGGAAAAAAGGAGAAGATGAGAGCGGGTTGACTGGTCTAAAGTTCATGACCTAGCATGAGGGGGCTAGGCTTGTTGAGTATTGGTGTGAGCCCATCGTCTAAAAGGCAAGGGGACTGACTAATGGGCACCCTGTGGAGGCTGAGTAAGGCAGTCCACATTGAGTTTACCAGAACCCGACCAGCTGGAGATTTTTGAGCTTGTGAACTGGTGCATATTGTTGCTGACATTATGGATGGCCTGTCTGGATTTGACTTTGGTTATGGACGCAGACTTCACAATGTTCCAACTGGAATAAAGACTCTTCATGACGAAAAATATGATTGTATTCTCAGAGGACTGGGTTCATGTAAGTGGGCAGTATATAAATTGGATACTCAAAATTGGGGGGGGATAAAGGCATGAAGTGGTTGGCTTATAAAGTTTCATAGGTGGGGGAATATATTCACAGGATTATAGGATTAAGGTGTAGGTATTACTTAATTTAAATTGTGAAGCCAAAGAATTATGTACAGGTGACAGGTTGGCAAGGGGTGAATTCAGCTAGTTAGTTTATTGTGCCAACTTGGCCAATAAACACATGTAGGGTTAATTGAAGGGCAGAGGGATAAATGGCTCTGTGAGCCTCGCCTTTCGAGTTACTGGGTCTCTTGCTTTGTGATGGTCGCACCAGGGTGCATCTGCCTTAACAGTACCCTGCTTCAGGTTGCAAGGCTGACTTCCTGCAAGACATCCCCAAGAAGAAGCCACATGGACCTACGCCGATGCAGCCCTGAGTGCTGGAGTACCCATGTGGAGACCCCTGCCAGCGCTGAGATGCTTGCACATTCGCTGACTCGGCTTTCCTCCTGCAGTCAGCGTCATAGTGTGTGTTCTGTGAGATGGAGGAGGACTTTGTGGATTGGTGTTGGACATATGGATTAATGGGTTAATGTTGGACTTGTGGGTTTGGGTAGTATTGGGTTGGGATGTTTTCTTGATGCTCATTTAATCTTTATGTAAAACTGTCTCTTATACATGAGTTTTCTGTGGATTTGTTTCTCCATAGTACCCAGACTAATACAGTTACCTTTTTACTGATAGAACAATGTAGCTCAGACAGATTCAGAAATTTGCTGAGACTAATACAGTTACCTTTTTACTGATAGAACAATGTAGCTCAGACAGATTCAGAAATTTGCTGAAGGTTACATAACTTGGTAGGTGACAGCCATATTTAAATAAGAGTGTGGGAAAACCAAAGATTAAAATGTTGGACTTTTTATTTCTTGTCCAGTGTTCTTTTAACTTATCATCCTTCCTAGGTAGCATGCAGCATATTGTTATGGAAAATTATAATTTTGAATTTTAAAACAAAAGGAAATTGGGTGGTCATATACTTTTATATGTCTCTTTCCAAGTTTGAATGCTTAGTTTAAAAACAATTGAAATAGATAATTTTATTTCAATTTCTTATGGTGGTTATAATCTACAGAAGTCTAGAACATCAGATTGCTAAGCATTTCAAAAGTGATCAAAGCTTTCAATCCAACATATGTGAGATTCTTCACAGTATACTCTGTCATTTCACATATCCTTTTTTCCTTAGGATGCAGTGGTAAGAAATGAGCCTGAGAAAAGTCTGAGAACTGTTGATTTATTTCTTACCTGTTTTTTATATTTTTAGGTAACTAGCATCCATCACTCCTGCTCTACCCTATACATATACAGCTAATAATGGTGATATAATTTGCTGCAAAAACAATTTGCACTTTCATATATATGTATATTATAATTTGAATGAAGCTAAATGCCATTCAACATGAAAATTACAGCCTACTGATATTATTTAACACTAGTATAGACAGATTTATAAAAGAAGGCGAATTCAGGGGAGAAACCATATGCTTTAGTGAAACCAAGAATTTATAATTGATGTCTTTGGTTTTGTGGTCCATGAATACCATTTAACAAGAACAACAAAAAAGACAATTATACTCTGGCCCTTCGAGACATGTTTTTAAATTAATTTCTCATGGTTATGGAGCTTATTAGGGAATTTATCAGGTTACAATTCAGGATTCCAAGTGCCCAGGAGCACCTCTTCTCAGATGTGTCCATAGGCTTACCTCTCTCTGGTCCTCAAACTCTAAGCCACATGGCCTGTAGTCCTCTGCCCTCCTTGGACAATGTGATAAATCTCTTTTAGTGTTGCCAACACCCTACTCCACAAGTGAGCCTTCTGTCTCAAAGCACTCAGATGTCTTGCTTCTTTTCGCAGAAAACCTACCACTTTTTTTGTGCTCTTCTGCTGCTACCTCTCTCCTGTCATTTCTCTGCTTCTCCTTTGGTTTCACAGTTCTCTGTGTTCTGGACTGAGATCAGGGATCATGGAATCTAAAGGACACAATCCACCCTTGACTCTTCTTTTTTATAGTAGTGAGCTATTCCTCCTCTCTGATTCTGAGATGGCTTATTTTAAATCCAGTGTGATGGCTGAACTGACCAATCCCCGCTTTATCATTCCATACACCCTGTTTATGTGGTCCCACACAGACTGTGGCTAGAACAGATGACCCCCTAACTCTTCTAAACATTGTCCTTTTATTTCATTGATGAATAACTTTCCTCCTCTTTCACAGTTACATGTGCAATTAGTTTTTTGCAATCACAATTAACCTTGTCAACAACTACTCAAACTACATCCTAAATCCTATCAGCATCTTTTCCCACCTGAGGAGTATTTTGTACTATGTTGTAGTCTAATTCCATCAGACCTCTACATCCCAAGGAAGGATAAGAATCACCGTTAGCACAAAGCTGGTTCTTATGCGGTAGAGGTCAATCATGTCCACCCTCTCCAACTGTAACCTGTTTCTGACACCATCTCTCACATGGCACTCGCTATTTCTTTGCTGGGATTGATAACTTATTGCAATGGCCTCATAGACCATACGCTCACAATGTATGGTTTATTGGGGAAACAAAAGGCTTTAACTTCGGATGAGAAAAAACTTGGAAGTAACAGGATACAACTCAGGAGACAGGATACAGTTCTTCAGACGGGACAACTTCCAACCAAGAGAGCTCAGCTTTTTAAAAAAATCATTTTATTGGGGGCTTGTACAGCTTTTATCACAATCCATCCATCCATCCATTGTGTCAAGCACATTTGTACATTTGTTGCCATCATTTTCA